TTTTGAAATTTGGGGATTAATAGGTTTTTAATACTTTGCCAACGGCACTGACTGGACTAGAAAAGACTGGATTATTGGAAAGAGGACGCTCCTTCACTTCTGTGGACAAAATGCTCGAGCTCATCCGCCACCTCCTGTTTTCCAGCACTTTCTTGCTGCTCCTTTCCTGCCTTTTGTCAGGGGGTGGGTTAGCTCTGTTCACTCTTGTCCTATTATAAAAATCATGCATCTTGTTTTTAATCTTCTATTGGTTTTTCTTAAATTTTTAAAAAAGATTTATTTCTGCACACAGACGGGGGTACAGGCCAGAGGCGCAGGGGCGGCGAGAGGCTTCACCAGAGACAGAGAGGGGAACAGAACAGGCAGATGGATGAGGTCCACTGCTGAGGGGAGCAGCGGGGGGTCAGGAGGGGTCTGCCGCGCCCTGGGGTCACCTCCGGGGCAGGCGGGGATCGAACTCGTGCGGAAGCGGCTTTAGCTTCTCAGTGCTGCGCTGTGACCCGCTGCGCCCCAGGGAGGGCCTATTGTAGATATTTTTGACCCAAAATTCCATCCCTAACGTGGCTTTCAGCTTTGTGCAGTTTTCTAGTTTGGGGGTTATGACTGTGCTGCCTCTGGGGACACGGCAGTCCCAGGGTTTCTCCCCATTTTATATTTGCTTCTTTCTTGTTTTCAGTTGTCGTTTATCTGGGGGGAGATTTTTCTGACACAACAGATCTTCACATACACAAGAGATTGCCACCGGAGGGGAGCAGCGGGCGGGTGGGGGGTTTCTGCCGCCCCGTGTGGTCCCCTGGGGAGCGCAGTCGCCTGGGATCCGACTTGTGCTGCAGCGGCTGCAGATCCCTGCGTGGTGCTGGGCTTTGACCCGCCGCGTCACCAGGCAGGGCCCAGATGATGATTATTTTTTAAAGCTTTCTTTTTTTAAATCAAAGTTCTGAAGAGTGTCGGAAAAATAGGGGTTCCCAAGTCCACCTCTGGGGCGAGGAAGAGCCGCGAGCCTCGGGATCTGGCACCCCCCCGCCCCCCGGTGGTTCTGACGACGGCCCCGTTGGGGGGACGACGCTGGCTGCCCCGGGAGAGCTGGTGACTGCAGCCCCGGGCAACACGCCGCGGCACGTGTTGCTGGTCACGTCGTCTGGACAGAGCCACGCCCCTCGTTTCGGGATTGTCCGCAGGGGCTTCCACACTGCGACCGAGCGACTCGCGGAGTCCAAAGTGAGGATGAGGAAGAAGGGAAGAGGCGGAAGCGAGGCCAGGCCGTTCACCAGAGGCGCCCAGGGGGGCGGGGAGTGGCGCCCGGCGCTCTGTGCACGTGGCGCTGCCGAGTGCCCTCGGCCTGGTGAGGCGGGTGGCTGGCACGCAGAGGCACCACGCCCATTTCACGCGGCTGGCAAAGGGCCCGAGCAGGAAACAGCCCCC